ATAGAAGTACACTCTAATTTCAATAACAATCAAGTTTTTAAGAAACTTTAGCTTGTCATTTACAAATTTAAGAAATATTTTTATAATGTGAAGACAAGTTTTTGTGAAGAGAATTTTTTTTTATAAAAATAAATCAATGAAAAGAAGGAAAAAATGTTTTAAGGAAATTTTAAAGGATTGAAGTTGTTATGGACTGGGTCGGGACCTGTCTATCAGTCGGGCAGGTCCAACCCAATACTACGTTGGGAAGGTTCAATAAGACTCAATCATTTTTCGTCGAACACGAGTCACATACGTCGGGCAGACGACTCCCTTGGTGGGCAGGTCCACACGTTTTTCCCACGTTCTTCAGGTACTCTCCCACGCGAGGATACGTTATCAGACAACTGCCCACCTCCAAAAAAGTTGGTCAGCCCACCTTCTGAAAATCACGGGGCAGTTGATCTAGGGCGAAAATTGCGTGATGGTCTTCACTATGCCACGTAAGCCCTAACAATTGCTTGGGTTGGGCCTGGCAGTCTGGCCCAACACAAGTAACCGTTGGCCCTGCGCTGGGGTCTCTCTATAAAATTTAAGAGAATTTGAGAGTATTATTATTTATTTATTTTTATCATCTTTGTTTACGAAAACTAGCACTTCCATGTTACCATAGAATATTTATATTGTTTGTTTATGCATGTATTTTTCAATGCTAAAAAAGGCTACCGAAGAAAAAATTGTTGTTGGTTTAACCAACCTATATGATCATTTCTTTGTTCCTACTGAAAAAGGGGGGCTCCCAAGTGACGATTTCTCGTTTGCCATACTTTAATGGAGACTTTTGGTGTGGTTCTGCTATGGAAAAAGCAAAAACCATTGAAAAAGAGAGCAGAGGAGACTATGAAAATATGTTGAAGAAACGAGTGTCAACTAGAGCTTTAAAGACCATGGGACATGTTAATCCTTCGAAAGATGATGCTAAGGACATTCTGGTGATGCAAAAAATATGTCTCCCTTCTCTTTTACTTTCATCCTTAATTTCATTTTTTAGTGTTCTACATTTAGATAAAGTATACAATGTCATTATATGGAATATATTCTCTAGATTTAATATGTATTAATCAGTCACAATGGTTGAATTACTAAAGATATTTGACTTTTATTATATCTAGCATAAAAGTCATATATAAATTATGGATTTTGATTGGTTAATAGTCTAAAATCTTTTACACTAACATTACATCAAAATTAATCTCATATCCTTTTATACTAGATTGAATGAAAAGTTGAAATGTTCTTATAATATAGTTCAGTTTAATGTCATTTTATCTAACCTTTCTTCCTTTTTTTAAACTCAATTTTCATTAGTTGGGTCAAGATATATTGCCTACGAAGGAAAATTTCATCGTAGCTCACTTACAATATTCATGCATGCAGTGCTATGAAGTGATAATGTGTGGGAAGCGGTGGTTTTGCACTGAATGCAAGAAATTTCAAGAGTGTGAAAGGTAACTTAAATACATATTTCAATTATTTCCCTCTTCTTTTAAAATGAATGCATTGGTTTTGCATTAAATATAATTAAAAAAAGTTGACTTTGGCATTCATATCAATATGGTTTTGCGCTGAATGCAAGAAATTTCAACCCTAGTTAGAGAATTTAGACATTTCTACTTTCTAAATTATTCTTTGCCTAAATTATGCATAACTTTTTGTATTTATGTCAACTTTGCAGTGAGTTGAAGAAGCTTTTAGAATTTAGAGGAATGCGTTCTAAATAATGACATATAGGTGCAGCTGTTGATAGTGACAATCAGAGTCATTGATTGATGACTCTTTTGTGAATATATAGTTCAAAGACAATAACAAGAAATATTTGCAATTTCAAATGAGTTTGGAGTTGACCGAGACTATTGTGATATTTGAGGAGGGAGTAAGAAACAATGCATGCTCAGAATGTTAGTCTTTCTCATATGACTGGAAGTCACAATAGAAACCATGAGATTGACAGGAAAGGTATACTTTCATAGAAACCATGAGATTGGCAGGAAAGGTATACTTTCATAGAAACCATGAGATTGGCAGGAAAGGTATACTTTCATTGTGTGAGATTCTACTTGGAAAACCATTTTGATAACTGCACTCTTTTTCCCTTCATCAAGGTTTTAATCCCAAAGGTTTTTTTTTATAAGGTTTTGAACGAGGCAGTTGACCAATTATTTTGGTCTACATTGTTAGTTACATTAGGTGAAAGTTCAGGGGTGCCAACCTAGTTAGGATGTGCTGACCAATTATTTTGGTCTACATTGTTAGTTACATTAGGTGGAAGTTCAGGGGTGCCAACCTAGTTGGGATGTCTGTGCTTTCATTTTTTTCTTCACTTTAACTTAAATTTTAGTTATTATATTTTAAATTGATGTCTCTACATGTAATATATGAAGTGAAAAATAAATAAATGTGGTGTAGAAAAGTTGGATGCTGCAAAAGCATATAAAATTGAGATTGAAATGTGAACCTCAAACATGAATAAATGTTATATGCAGGCCTTACAGCCAGCAATGCAGGTTTATATGTCATTTGGACCAGCTTAAATGGTTATGACATTTAAAATAAGGGTTATGTTAATTTGTGCCTTGGGGTACATGTTAAAAAATTCACAAATAGAAAGTATGTATGGAAAAAAAATAATAAAATCATTAATTATAAGGCTGTATTAAATTTATTACACAATTTTCAAGAATTATTTCTTATATTTATCTCTTAACTTCCTCCAAGAACACAAGTTAACGTTACTATTAAAATAAAAATTTTAAAGTTTAATCTAGTATATAGCAACTTAGCATCAACCAGCCACTTGAAATCTTACAAACAAATTTATATTTTGTTTTCTTTCTAGTCGCATTAAATTAAATTTTTTTAATATAGAATCAGACTGAATCACTTCGTTAGATTGAAATCTTACAAACAAATCTATATATAATTTTTTCTAGTCGTACTAAATAATAGTCATTAGATACATGAGATTAACTATTAGATTTTTAATTTTAAATTAAATTTCTTCTTAGTTATGTTGACGAGCCGATCTAAAGTATTTTGAGGTCTAAAACAAAATTTGAGATGCGGTCTTCTATAAATAATAATTTTATTAAAATTTGATTAATTTTTTAATATTAAAAATAGAATAAATTATAAATTTAATATTTACTTTATTATATATTTTTCAATTTAATTTCTAAAGCATAGAAAATAATAGTTAGTCTCTTAAATATATATAATTTGTCAAATTAATCTTTATAATAGCATGAATTAAATTAAAGAATTTTATACTCCCACTATATGAGAAGAAAAAAAAGACTAAAATGTATTGCTCGAATTCATCAAAAAATCAATTAAATCATTTTGTTCTCAAAATGTATCTTTTTAAAAATTAAATTAAAAAGTATGTAGGGGTAGAGGTGCTAAACCGGCATCCATCTTATAAAAAAAAAATAAACAGAACATGAAATCTTGACTTACTCAAAAAAATAAATAGAGTCAGACAGACGAACGTGTTTGTCCGATAGAACAAGACATGGAATCTTGATTTATTAAAAAAAAATAGAGTGAGACAGACTAATGGGTTTGACCGATTGAACGAGCCTGTTTAATTATACTAATTTAATCACTTCTATTTTAAATTTTTGGACGTGAGTGATTTTCAAACAAATTTTTTAAATTAAAAATGGTAGATATTACGTTTCTATGTCATTTGTTTTGAAGAGAAGTCTCTTATTGAAATAACTGAGTTTGTTTAATTGCAATTTTTTTTTAATAGAATATCATCAAAATACTTTATGTACTTGATGGGATAAAATTTAATTGCTGTTATTATTGTTATTGTTTTGTTTAAATTCCAACTATCATAGTATTGTTATTTTTAATATATTTATTTAATATAAAAAAAGTTATTAATAATATTTATATCACAAATGAGGAAATTATAGAATTGACTATATATTTTTGATTTTTTTAACTTTCAATTTGTTCCACTGAATTTTATTAAAGATAAGTTATAGGTAGTCTAGAAAAAAGAAATTACGTGTATTATTTGTTAATATGTATATTAATATAACACTATTTTTTCAAGATTATTATTTGCAAACATTTTTTTTTTGCTGTACTAAAATTCCATTAATATAGGATCAAACTACTTTATCTCAAACTACTTAGGAGCAACTTTAACGCAGATTTGTTAAACCAAAATTTCTTATAGCTTACGTTAGTAATAAGGAATTTGCATTATAGTAGAGCTGACGTGGCATCCAAATGAACTAAAATTTAGTTCACATTCTCTATATAGTTAACGTTAACTATTGATGTTAAACCTATTATAATATTATTTAATATTAATAAAATATTTCAAATATTCCAACAGCATTAAAGTAACCGTATGATATTTGAAAATAGTAACGGTCATATTACCATTTTTTTATCTTCTATAAATTCTATAGAAACTTTAATTTTTTTTACACACAGTTTTACTTCTAAATTTTTTTCTTTCAATTTTCAATCTTATTTATTTATCAAATTTCCAATCTTATATTTTTTTTGTTAAAATATAATTCGTTGCTTATTGTCATGTATTATTTTATATTCCTATGAAAATGTAATTTTTTTTATATATTATTATTGTGAATTTTGTATCATTTTTAATTTTTATAATAAAATATATTTAATATTATTTTTAAGTTTTTAAGATAAATTTTATTTAAAAAATTATATATATTTTAATTAAAATAATTAAATTAATGATAACTTAAATAAAAAATATAAAATGTGGGGTCAAGTTTTGGTTTCTTATAGACAACCATCATTAAAGTAAAAACTACTCAAATCAACTATAAAATTTTTAAATCCTACAAATCACTTTGCTCCCACAAAAAATATCTTAGTTTACCCATTTAGTTTACTCCCACTAAAGATGCTCTTAGGTGAGTGAATTCTATTTCAATAAACCCTAAAACTGCAGTTCCCAATTTCTCATGGCAGTAGCGCGAGAATTTTCCGCAGCGTTGTTCTCTTGCTCAAAGCCCCACGTTTCTCTTTTTCAACGTCTCTTCCTTCGTAGAAAGACTTCCAAGATTTTTGTCAAAGGTATAACTATTTTTTTTTTTGTTTTAGCTGTTTCATGTTCTTCTTTGATCTATGATTGAGCTTTAGGTTTTAGCTTGTAAATACTGAATCTTTAGTTTAACTAAACCTTTAGTTCGCAAAATCTCTAGCATAGCATTATATACCTATGGAAAAACGAAGCACATACACTCTACTTCGACACTGACGTATAGACACCAGTAATAATTTGAAAAAATGAAAAACTAAAGGTAATCACAAAGTCTCGGGCAAGGCTTTTGACATCAAGGCTTTTGAAATCTCCATGCATTTGAGCTGCATCAGTTGCAAACTTGCAATTGAATGTGATTCCTAGAATCCTGGTGCAATTGCAATTGTGATCACCGTTGCAATTTAAAACCTTATTTGTCGGTAAACAAACCATATGTGAATCGTAAAATAACTTTAGTCAATAATGGTGCTATCCCGCTATAGTGGAGCGGAGGCCAACCGCTATGAGAAGAGCCTTAGCAGTGCAGAACACTATAGCGGCCGCTATAGAGTAATTAGCATGATAGTGAGCAGAGCGGTTTCTGGCGCGCCATCCTTTTCCCCCTAAAAAACCAAAATTACCCTTAAATTTACAACTTTTAAGAATAATTTTGGGTTTTTTAATCAAATTTGGGTTCAGACTCAACCTTAAGCTTCTTTTGTAATCGTTTATGCACTTCAAGAGTCATGTGTGCTTTGATCATGAATATTTTATGAGTTGAGTTATTTGTTTAATTTTACATTAAATACAGGTTTATAATTATTATATGTAATTTGTCCAAAAAAATGATCAAATAGAGTTGTCGTCCCGCTATCCCACTTTTGGGGTCGGCTGTTCCGCGCCGCTATCTGGGAATGACTACTCTGCACTCCATTCATGAACACAACAGGCAAAGAATTCAACTTTCCTCTTTGTTAATCAAATGAAATTCAGCTCTCTAAAATTATTATTATGAAGGAAATTGCACTCAAAATGCCTATATAAGACAATGGTTATGATTCTGTGTTAGCCAGTTGGTCCTCGTGCTATCAATTACTGTTTTTTAAGATGGAGTTTTAGTTTGTAGAATGCATTTGAAAATGTACTCAGTGAAACCTTTAGCATGATGTAAGAACAACTAAATCATGCTCACTTTATCTACACATCATAGAACGCATCTGCCGTTACTTGTGGCCTTGATTCACAAAGCAACCTATGTTCTAATCCTAGATTACTTGAAATTATAGTGAAGTTTATTTTTAATCATTTTGACTATTTCGTTTCTGTTCTTACTCTAAAGGTTTTTTTAATGTAATTTTTGTAGTTCTTGTACATGAAAGAAACTGTTTATCAAAACTATCCTTTCTTGATTAAGATTACCACAATCCATTACACTACATTTTTTTAACCATTTCTTAGATTTGGTAGAAACAAAAAAAACATTGTAAACATTTTATCAAACCATGATATGAACTTAATATCATTTGTTGGAACTTTAATTAATTAATGGTGGAACTTTAATTAATTATAGTGGGAATTGGAAACATTTGTTGACAATTAATGAGCAATAAATGAACACAAGTGAGAACTAATATAGAAGTGAATTTGAAAAGATTCATTTTAGTCCCACATTGAAGGGAATGGAAATATTAGTCGTGTTTAGATGAATTATTTTTGGACCCGAATTTATATAATTTAATTATCATTAATTAATTAATATAATTCGGTGGAAAATTAATTAATAATAAATATTAATTAATTAAGAAAATAATTGGTCAGTCAGTCCTCCACGAATTTCTCAGTCTCCCACCATTTTCTCCACTCCCCACGAATTTCTCAGTCTCCCACCATTTTCTCCACTCCCCACGAATTTCTCCCCACTCAGGTGCAGTTTGCTGCCTATAAATACAGGGTAGAAATTCAGAAGTGGGTACATCGGATTTCACAAATTCACACGAATTTTGATTTCCCTCTTCTCTTTCTCATTTCTCTTTATCTCAAAAACTCTCTTTTCTTGACTGGTTATTTTAACCAGATACTTTGAAAGGTGTATTTCTAGAGCGATTTATCAGTGTGCAACTGATAATCGTAAGTTGTTTGAACGGGCTGTTTTATCCTGGAGGCGTCGTCGTAAATTCGACTGCTTTGCATAATTTGGCAGTACGGCGAAACGTCTTAAAGAAAGCGACCTAGTACGCGACTCGTCCCGATAATTTCCTTGTGCCAAACGCTATTTTTTCAAATCCGAAAACAACAATTTTAAGACGCTTTCATAACTGCCATGGCAACTGAGGAAATTATCGGTACTACTGCGGCCGCTTCGGTCTCTGACAAACCTTTCAGGTTTGAGGGTTCCAATTTCAAACGTTGGCAAGCTAAGATGAAATTTTTCCTAACTCTGAAAAAGGTTGCCCACGTTCTGACTGAGGATATCCCGGTTTTCCCTTCTGCATCATCTGAACTACCTAACGGTAACTCACTTGCAGATTCAGACGGGACTTCCAAAATGTATGACTCAGATGCTGCAAAAGCTAAGGCTGCAGCAGATGATCTACAGCTCCGAAAAGAAATCGCCTTATGGCACGAGAATGATTATCTGTGCAAAAATCACATTCTGAACAGCCTTGCTGATGATCTGTACGACTACTACAGTAGCTACAGGACTGCTAAACAGGTTTGGGAGGCTCTGCAAAGAAAATACGATACTGAAGAAGCAGGTGCGAAGAAATTTGCTGTCAGCCGCTACTTGAACTACAAGATGGTGGATGAGAAGTCGGTGGAAGCTCAAAGCCACGAAATTCAGAAGATTGCTCATGAGATCATTACAGAAGGTATGTCCCTCAATGAACAATTTCAAATTGCTGTAATTATTGACAAACTGCCCCCTGGTTGGAAAGATTTCAAAAATGTGCTTCGTCACAAAACAAAAGAATTTTCAATCGAGAGTCTGATAACTCGCCTCCGAATTGAAGAGGAGGCTCGGAAACAAGATCAGAAAGAAGAAGTCTTAGTTGTGTCGAACAACAAAAAGAAATTCGGTGCGGTTCTGAAGCCTACGGGCAAACCTTTAAAGAATCAGAACCGCAATGCTATGAACCGAACTAAGAATGGGAATCCCTCTAGGGCCCCATCGGCTCCATTTGCTAAGCAACAGCCACCACCTCAAAGAAATGATGCTCCGGTTTTCACTTGCTATAATTGTGGGAAACCGGGCCATATGGCAAAGAAATGTAGGAGCAGGCCTAAACCTGCAGCTGGCTCAAATGCTCAGGTCAACCTGACTGATGAGCAACTCATTGCCATGATCACTGAAATCAACATGGTTGGTGGAAGTGATGGTTGGTGGATAGACACTGGCGCCACTCGTCATGTCTGCTATGATCGTGCTATGTTCAAGACATACATGAATGCTGAAGATAAGAAAGTGTTGTTGGGAGATGCTCACACCACTAATGTTGCTGGAATTGGAGATGTTGAGCTGAAGTTCACTTCAGGAAAGACTTTGATCTTGAAGGACGTCATGCATGTTCCTGAAATTAGGAAGAATCTTGTTTTTGGTTTTCTTTTGAATAAGGCTGGGTTTAGTCAAACTTTAGGGGCAGATTTGTACATCATCACTAAGAATGGTATTTTTGTTGGAAAAGGGTACGCCACTGATGGCATGTTTAAGTTGAATGTTGATTTGAATAAAATTTCTCCTTCTGTTTACTCTGTGTGTGACTTCAATATTTGGCATGGTAGACTTTGTCACGTTAATAAACGAATCCTTTCTAATGCAAGCAACATAGGCCTAATCCCTAAACTAAATGTTAATGATTCCAATAAATGTGAATTTTGCAGTCAAGCTAAAATAACAAAAACTTCACATAAGTCAATTATAAAAGAATCTGACCCCCTAGATCTTATACACTCTGATATATGTGAATTAGATGGAAGTTTAACTAGAAATAATAAACGCTATTTTATCACTTTTATTGACGATTGCTCTGATTATACTTATGTATATCTAATGAAGAATAAAAGTGAAGCGCTTGACATGTTTAAGGTGTATGTAACTGAAATTGAGAATCAATTTAACAAGAAGATTAAGAGACTTCGCAGTGATAGGGGAACCGAATATGACTCCAGCTTGTTTAATGATTTTTATGCTGAACATGGTATTATACATGAAACGACTGCTCCATACTCTCCTGAAATGAATGGTAAAGCAGAAAGAAAGAATAGGACTCTTACTGAACTTGTAGTTGCAATCATGTTGAATTCTGGTGCTGCACCTCACTGGTGGGGGGAAATTTTATTGACTGTTTGCTATGTCCTGAATAAAGTTCCAAAGTCAAAAAGTAATATCTCACCCTATGAGATATTAAAGAAAAGACAACCAAATTTGTCTTATTTAAGAACTTGGGGTTGTTTGGCTTATGTCAGAATTCCGGATCCGAAACGAGTTAAACTCGCTAGTAGAGCCTATGAATGTGTTTTCATTGGGTATGCAGCAAATAGTAAGGCATACAGGTTTTATGACCTAACTGCCAGAGTAATTATAGAATCAAACGATGTTGAATTCTTTGAAGACAAATTTCCTTTCAAATCGAGAAATAGTGGGGGCACACAATTGAGTCACATTCCTGTGATAAAAGGCACTGAAAGCAGCGACAATGTAGAAACAGAGCTTCGAAGAAGTAAAAGAGCAAGAGTTGCTAAAGACTATGGGCCCGATTATGCGGCCTATAATGTAGAAGAAGATCCAATAAATCTTCAAGAAGCACTGTCATCTATGGATGCAGACTTATGGCAAGAAGCCATTAATGATGAGATAGATTCTCTAGAATCTAACAAGACCTGGCACTTAGTAAACTTACCTCCGGGTTGCAAACCAATTGGTTTTAAATGGGTTTTGAAAAAGAAACTAAAACCTGATGGAACGATTGAGAAATACAAGGCTCGCCTTGTAGCCAAGGGTTTTAGACAAAGAGAAAATATAGATTTCTTCGACACCTTTTCTCCGGTCACTAGAATTACATCCATTAGGGTACTCATTTCAATAGCAGCTATTTATAACTTAATAGTACACCAAATGGATGTTAAAACAGCTTTTTTAAACGGTGACTTAGAAGAAGAAATCTATATGGAACAGCCAGAAGGATTTGTAATCTAAGGACAAGAAAGCAAGGTCTGTAAGTTAGATAAGTCTTTGTATGGACTAAAACAAGCCCCTAAACAATGGCATGAAAAGTTTGATAACCTAATGATAATTAATGGGTACAAAGTGAATGAAAGTGACAAGTGCGTCTATTACAAATCTGAGAATCGCATTTGTACTATCATATGTCTATATGTAGACGATCTACTTATATTTGGATCAAACATTCAGGCCATCAATGATATGAAATCATTGTTATGCAATAACTTTGATATGAAAGACCTCGGAGAAGCAAGCGTGATCCTGGGTATCAAGATCACGAGATCCGAACAAGGAATTTCTTTGGATCAATCTCACTATGTGGAGAAGATCTTAAAGAAATATAAATACTTTGATTGTAAACCTGCATGCACTCCGTATGATCCAAGTGTGAAACTATTTAAGAACACTGGAGAGAGTGTCAAACAAGCAGAATATGCGAGCATCATTGGCAGTCTTAGGTATGCCACTGATTGTACTAGACCCGACATTGCATATGTCGTAGGACTGTTGTGCAGATTTACAAGTAGGCCGAGTAATGAACATTGGCAAGCTATTGAGCGAGTAATGAGGTACCTTAAAAGGACTATGGACCTCGGCCTACACTATCAGAAATTTCCTGCTGTACTAGAAGGGTATAGTGATGCAGATTGGAACACCTTATCGGATGATTCCAAAGCTACTAGTGGTTATATATTTAGTATAGCCGGAGGAGCTGTATCTTGGAAATCAAAGAAACAGACCATTCTGGCACAGTCCACAATGGAGTCTGAGATGATAGCATTAGCTACAGCTAGTGAAGAAGCAAGTTGGTTAAGATGCTTGCTAGCTGAGATTCCTTTATGGGAAAAACCTATACCAGCTGTGTTGATCCACTGCGATAGTACCGCGGCTATTGCAAAAGTTGAGAACCGTTATTATAATGGTAAAAGACGTCAAATTAGAAGAAAACATAGCACTGTTAGAGATTGTATCTCTAAAGGAGCTGTGAGAGTGGATCATGTACGCACTGATGAGAACTTAGCAGATCCTTTGACGAAAGGATTAGCTAGAGAGAAAGTCCATAATACTTCCAAAAAGATGGGACTAATGCCTATAAAGTAATTTGTTACTCATGATGGTAACCCGACCTAAATGACTGGAGATCCCAAGACTTGGGTTCAATGGGTAATAACAAGTTATGAGTAATATGAAAATGATCATGCAAGTAAAGCATGAATCCTGAAGTAATGAGAGGATGAGATAATAGAAACTCTTAATGAGATCTATACTCTGTATGAGGGAGTACCTAGGCTACAGGAGTACTCTTGATAGATTCACCTATGTGACTGTGGAACTAGGCCGGTTCCTATGGAATTTCGAGGCAGAATTCCTAGAGCATTCACTAAACCGGGATACACGTGCAGGGCCACTAAAGCACGGGCTACAAGAATACACCTTACGGAAAGGTTGTGTGCGGGTCTGATGTCCGAGATAGAGTTCAAGACAATGGTGTCACTCTTGTTGAATCAGAATCCTACTCGCTACGCTAAGGTTCAAGTCGTAGACACCTTTGCTTATGCTCAACCTGAGAAACGTCTGACGTACTTCTAAAATCTCTTTTAAATTCAAGTGGGGGAATGTTGGAACTTTAATTAATTAATGGTGGAACTTTAATTAATTATAGTGGGAATTGGAAACATTTGTTGACAATTAATGAGCAATAAATGAACACAAGTGAGAACTAATATAGAAGTGAATTTGAAAAGATTCATTTTACTCCCACATTGAAGGGAATGGAAATATTAGTCGTGTTTAGATGAATTATTTTTGGACCCGAATTTATATAATTTAATTATCATTAATTAATTAATATAATTCGGTGGAAAATTAATTAATAATAAATATTAATTAATTAAGAAAATAATTGGTCAGTCAGTCCTCCACGAATTTCTCAGTCTCCCACCATTTTCTCCACTCCCCACGAATTTCTCAGTCTCCCACCATTTTCTCCACTCCCCACGAATTTCTCCCCACTCAGGTGCAGTTTGCTGCCTATAAATACAGGGTAGAAATTCAGAAGTGGGTACATCGGATTTCACAAATTCACACGAATTTTGATTTCCCTCTTCTCTTTCTCATTTCTCTTCATCTCAAAAACTCTCTTTTCTTGACTGGTTATTTTAACCAGATACTTTGAAAGGTGTATTTCTAGAGCGATTTATCAGTGTGCAACTGATAATCGTAAGTTGTTTGAACGGGCTGTTTTATCCTGGAGGCGTCGTCGTAAATTCGACTGCTTTGCATAATTTGGCAGTACGGCGAAACGTCTTAAAGAAAGCGACCTAGTACGCGACTCGTCCCGATAATTTCCTTGTGCCAAACGCTATTTTTTCAAATCCGAAAACAACATCATTGTAAAAAATGCCTCAAGTTAACACTTGCGGGTGTCGTGATCTATAAATCTTGGTGCAGGTTTAGCATTTTCTACTACAAAAGAGAAATTAGCTGAAGATTTTTCTCAATACGGAAACGTTCTCAAAGGTATGTGTCTGTATTGTCATTACAAACCCAAAATCTCTTGGATAAAAATTTTCATGCATGCTTCATTTCATTTTTTTCCAGCTGATATAGTATTGAATAAAGCCAAGAATAGGTCCAAAGGTTTTGGATATGTGACTTTTTCAGAGGAGGAAGAAGCCCGCAAAGCCCAGATCGACATGAATGGAAAGGTTAGAATCTACTAACCTTAATATTCTTTTAGGTATGTTAATTGTTTAAACATAGCCTCTACGAAAAACAAATTCAGAAAATGATTCAACGCTTTCTGCAGATATTACACGGACGTGTCTTATATGTAGACATGGATCCACCTGACGAGCAGAAGAAAACCTACATGCACGCAACTAAAAATGAAAATGCTAATAATGCTGATGTGCATATGGATTGAAGTAAACAAACAGGCTTATAAGGTAAGACAACACCTAACCCAAGGAGGGAAGAAGCCACATCTCCTCCGAGCTTCTGGTTGAAAATGTTTCTGTAGAAGTTACAGATTTTGATCCACCAATTAATACATAAACAATACACGATTGGCGAATCAATAACAAATACTTTTGCACAAAGTCTCCTTATTGTCTATTTATCTCATTTATATTTTTGGATTTCAAGACAGAGTATTCAAAATTGATTTTAGCCAAGAGTAGTTCTCGTTTCTGCTTGATCTGTCGGAGTTCTCCTTTATGCATAAGTGAGAAATCAGACCTTATATTTCAAGGAAAGATAGCATAGCATAGATAAAAATCAGGCAATTTTGGTTTTTGTTTTTTGTCTGTAGAAACTCACACACAAATAGGTAATAACTACTAGAAGCTCACACAACCGTTACTACCAGGGTTCGAATCTTGGTGATGACGTCCAATCTAACAATGTTGACTTTTGTCAATTGAAATATGAGTTGCTCGATCTCTTATCTGACAATTTTGACTTACTGCCTACTAAACTTTTTTATTCAGACAAATATGGACACAAAAAACAAACAAACACACACATTTTTATGAAAACAATATCTTGTTTCTTTCAAATATGCTCTAAGGTGTTGCGGGTTTTTTATTCTTTTCTGTGATGCTTTTCTGTGTAGCAATTTGAGTCTGGTCATTACCAATAATGTCTGCCACAATCCATTGATAGTTGAGGTCCTTTAAACATATGTTTTGTGTGTTCAATTATGGCTGTATGGATGGAAAATGTCCCTATTGGAAGAGGAAGACTTATTTCAATGATGCCTGAGAATTAGCACTTGTTAGGATTCTCTTTCTCACTTTGGTGAAATTTGTGGATCGACGCAGGTCACAAGCAATCCGATCGCCATTCCAAACACAGTCTTGAGATGAGATATGGTATTCTTTGATCTCCCTTAACCTAGCTTGAAAACTTTTCGAGGTACCGTAATTGACCATAGTTTAGTTGAGGAAGTAGGATCTAGGTTTGCTCCATTTTAACTTGATTGTTTGTACCACACCTATTTAACTGCATTTTCCAACCAAAATGGTATTACAACTGAATTTACATTGCAATAAATTACTAGATAAAAAACACACTCTGCAAACTTTTGAAAAATGAAAATTGCTCATGCAACAATAGGTTAGCCCAATTCTTGAATTTGGATTTGCTCAAAATAAAATCCTGAAACCTGATGGTCCAAACTTTCCGTAGCCTCTCTGGATCATCCTCAGAAATTAATCAATTGATAGTACATTGCTTTAAATTTTCATAAATTTACCTGAAAAAATATAAAGAAGCCAAAGTTTGATTTTTTTAGATCTGAAAATTATTCATCTATATAATATCATTATTATAAAATCAAATATATTAATTATTTAATATATTAATTATTTATTATACTTAACTATATTTGATAGAAATAATGCACAAATCCATTGTAAACTATAGTTAAGTTAGTTAGATGTTGTTTGGTATTGATCACCTTTATAAACCCCTTTTTTGCAATTATCACCTATTAGCTCTTATTGGAATATTTCTAACTATGACATTGCTTGGATGCGGGTGTTTTTAATATATTTTGCTGATTAAAGAAAAAGACTATAAAATGCAAGTTGTACAACTGTTTTTTTTACATATTTGGCAGGAGGAATATATGAACCTGGAGACACTGACTCGCCGTGTGCAAGCTGTATTGGGCGAATCTAATGCTCAAGCTCATGTCACTGCTAATTATAGCATGCCAAAAGGGGGACAATCTGGCCCTTCTACTGTTCATGACCTGCCTTGTTTTCCTGATGATCGTTCATCAGTCCCCCTGTTGCTAATATGGATATGCGTAGTAACTTACTTGTTTATGGCGATGGAAGCTATCTGGATGCTAACACCAGATCCGTTAGCAACTATTTTCCTCATCAACACACAAATAATTGTATGTTTACATTAGATTGCAATTTCTTTTTTGTGCAATATTGGTTTTGTCTTTTGCAACTATGTTATTGACATTGTGGTTCCCTTTTTAGGTGATACTGACATACTACAACCTACTAAAGGAAAAAAACCATTTATGGATTTTCCAATCATTTTTCTGGCTGGATGTCTTGTTTAGAATCGCAAGATACATGGAAATGTCAACCACAAATGTTGGATTTTGAGATGAACTCTACTGATGTAGAGGATAAACATGACATAATTGGATTCAACCAAGAAGAGAAACATGACATAAGTAAGGTTCCTATTCCTATTGATGTAGAGGATAAACATGACATAATTGGATTCAACCAAGAAGAGAAAGTTCTTAAAAGGAAAGTTAGTGAGCCAAAAGTTGATCAAGAGAAACAATTAAAATCCTCAAATACAACTGTTGATTTTGTTTCCTTGATTGATTTTTTCACACATGATCAAATAACAGAACATATTCATAGTCTGAGAAAGGAATCTCTTCAGGTTAGTACGCCACCTTCTAGCTTTTTTAATTATTGTTTAGGTATTATTATATGTTTTATCATAAACTGACTATCCCAAAAGGCTAAGCTATTTGCATAAAGTTCATGAATGATACTTCTTTTTATCATGAAACTTCGAATTCTGCATGTGCTCGCATGTTGTGCTGACAAATTCTATTTACATTTGTCAATTTGTTCAACTTTTATTAACTTTTTTCTAGTATGTGATATTTATTTAAATTTAAATTTCTATATTTGCAACTTACTTGTGTCCATAATTTTATGTGCTTTTAAATTTGTCTTAGCCATATAAAAGTTAACAATTCTTTTAACACAGATTAAAACTGAAGATGGAACAGGAATCGATGCAAACACATGCCAATTATGTGAAAGGGAAAATCTTAACTTTGAACCGGTACCGATTTTTTGTATATGTTGTGGCCACCTCATCGGGAGAAGAAAAACATATTTCTGTAGAAAAGATGAGGAATTCGATGCCGAGCTTTGTTTTTGCTCTGCCTGTTATAATACATCTAAAGGTGGTTGCAGCGCATTCTGTAACACCATACTTTACCCCGTACACGTAATATAATAAATATATAGAAACAATTCATGAAATTCATCAGAGTTCTCCAACACAGTGGGATATCACACTAAGTCACTTCATTTTATTAAAATAATCAATATTATTTAGTTTTCAAGTAAGCAGCGGAAGACAAATCAATTCTCCAATATAATTCTCCTCGACACGAGGTCATACAACATAAGTCCAATAAATGAAGATACGTAACAATAAACAAATAAAGTAGTCAAATAACAACGTAATCCCGTCATCCCATGTTACGTATCAGAGTGACTCCTAAGATTCGATCAAATAGCAACACACTCTAAGCACTACTCAGGTACCTGGTCACCTGTACTCCCAAGAGAGCACAGACACAACAACAAAAAGGGGTGAGAACTACATTCAATAAATAAACGGCGAAATACACATGCTAAGGAGTAGTTACACACCACACATACAATCATACATAATTAATGCACATACACGTGCCACCTCAATCATTCGACACTAATAGCCCACATTCAATTACAATAATGCAATGCGACTCACTGACTCGACACAATGCATGTGGTAACAACACAATCTCATATGGTTCACACTAGAACCCGATTCCCGTCGGAATCCGGATAAGTCGTATATACGTTTCTATGAACTACAACTTATCTCCACAACGACTTACACATTGAAGTCCGGATGAAACTAGACACCCATCATGGATTCCCACCTAGCCATCTCCACAAGACACATGATATGAAATGCATGTCAACACAATTATGCAATGTAATACATCATGCATAATTCACGATCAATCTTGATCCACACGAGCCATCCGCTCACCGTAATCCTCTCGGGAATTACCACACTCGCACAAGATTGTCCACATTCGACCATCTTGGCCCACATCTATCAAAACACTAAGACATCATTGAACTAGATTCGTTACTAAAACATATACACAATTGACTTCTCAAACATAATTAAATATACAAATATTGGGAAAACAATTCCATTATCTATCCTATGTTATAGCTCTGTTCATTAGCTTTCCAACGCTTCGAACGGGGGTCAAAACGGACTTACGGATCCAAAGTTGCGTCCAAAACAATTTCGACCGAAAACATGAACAGTCGTGACGGACAGAAAGACGCTGTTACGCTCCGGAACTGATTTTCGCTCAATTATTCTTGCGAATTACTTACTCAAAGCACCCAAAACATCACTAAAACATTCCTAAGGTTATGCGGCAATAACGACACAACTTCTATGGTTTATTATGCTCATCTGGCAACATTTGCAACACATACAACACTATTTGCTGCAATTGCTTTGAGTACTTCAGAGTTACTCACATTTGAATATTCCTATTCCTATAGGGACAACATATTACAATTTTTCCTTCAATTACACTCTACGACATTAAAATTACTCACTATCTAATATTTAACCCCTTCAGGGTCAGACATATAACAATGTCAAGGTTCTGGCCACGAAGGTTCAATTTTCCATAAGTTTTTCCCACAAGGACATATTAATATTCAACGATACGTATCATTTGGCCATTTGGTCATAACCTCAGATTCTTACGGTTACCTCCCTATTTCCCACAATTAACCCAAATCTTTAAACCTTAGAGAAACCTTAGAGCATCGTACTAATAATGATATAACACATTTATTCTTACATAGAAAACTATGAAAAGCAATACTCCCCATACAATAATCATTCAAGAACAGCAACAATTTTATGGAATTTATCATGCTACGAAAATTAGATCAAGAATCCTCAAGAACACATAATTCCTATGAGAGAAAGGACCTCTCACTATCCTCTCATGTTAATTCACCCATATTGAAATTCATTCTCCCCCCTTACTTAGAATTGGGTTTTTTCTTGATCAAGAATGGAGAATTTGGTTCCTCTGCCCTAGCTCTCCTTGTTCGTCAGTTTCTCTTTTTCTCCTAAAACCTTTCTCCGGCAGTTTTATCGTGTTCTAATTCCCTTTCCCAAAAAAACTTCTCTATTTCCTTTAATCTCTTATTTCTTATTTCTTATTTTATTATTTAAATCCTATAATAATAATAATAATAATAATAATATTATTATTATTCTCTCACTAATAATAATATTCATACTAATAGTAATAATATGAATAATAATAATATTCCACCAAATAATATTATTAATACGAATAATAATAATAATAATAATAATAATAATAATAATAATAATAATAATAATCTCATTAACATTATTATTAATAATAGTTAGAATAATATTAATCACTATAATGCTCTCGATATCATAATTAACTTACTTCTTTATCTAGGTCCACAGTACCCCAACTAAGGTCACCTCTCTCCCTTACTTCTAATCTCATACCCTTAATTAAGGACACCACACAACTACACCTCACAGAAAATACCAAAGCGACTGAAAAATTTAAATGGGGTGTTACAACTCTCCCCCACTTAAAATATTTTTGTCCTCGAAAATGTACCTGATGAGAACGGTTCCGGATACGACTCTCGCATCTTACTATCAAGCCAATTCATTCCTAAAATAACATCCAACTCGCGGAGTGGTATACAAATCAAGTTCACTCCAAAATCCTTACCAAAGATCGACACTGGACAATCCAAACACACTAGAGATGTAGTGACTGACCCAATAAATGGAGTACCAATCACCATCCCTCTAGTAAAAGTAGACGGCTTATTACTCTGAAACTTTCCCAAATTACGGAACTCTCCGTCGTCAGCACTTCGGTTGACGTTCTGACCAATGTCCGCCACTGCCTACGCAACAGCTTGTAACGCAGCAGCCATCACAGCATCATTCCTACCAGCCATACTTCTCAACAACCACGGAAACACAGGTTAGAAACACACACATGACTATAAACACTCTATAGTCAGACTCTACTACAACACTGGCCGGACGGACCAACCTGCTCTGATACCAATTGTAACACCCCACTTTACCCCGTACGCGTAATATAATAAATATATAGAAACAATTCATGAAATTCATCAGAGTTCTCCAACACAGTGGGATATCACACTAAGTCACTTCATTTCATTAAAATAATCAATATTATTTAGTTTTCAAGTAAGCAGCGGAATACAAATCAATTCTCCAATATAATTCTCCTCGACACGAGGTCATACAACATAAGTCCAATAAATGAAGATACGTAACAATAAACAAATAAAGTAGTCAAATAACAACGTAATCCCGTCATCCCATGTTACGTATCAGAGCGACTCCTAAGACTCGATCAAATAGCAACACACTCCAAGCACTACTCAGGTACCTGGTCACCTGTACTCCCAAGAGAGCACAAACACAACAACAAAAGGGGTGAGAACTACATTCAATAAATAAACGACGAAATACACATGCTAAGCAGTAGTTACACACCACACATACAATCATACATAATTAACGCACATACACGTGCCACCTCAATCATTCGACACTAATAGCCCACATTTAATTACAATAATGCAATGCGACTCACTGACTCGACACAATGCATGTGGTACCAACACAATCTCATATGGTTCACACTAGAACCCGATTCCCGTCGGAATCCGGATAAGTCGTATATACGTTCCTCTGAACTACAACTTATCTCCACAACGACTTACACATTGAAGTCCGGATGAAACTAGGCACCCATCATGGATTCCCACCTAGCCATCTCCACAAGACACATGATATGAAATGCATGTCAACACAATTATGCAATGTAATACATCATGCATAATTCACGATCAATCTTGATCCACACGAGCCATCCGCTCACCGTAATCCTCTCGGGAATTACCACACTTGCACAAGATTGTCCACATTCGACCATCTTGGCCCACATCTATCAAAACACTAAGACATCATTGAACTAGAACATGATTCGTTACTAAAACATATACACAATTGACTTCTCAAACATAATTAGATATAAAAATATTGGGAAAACAATTCCGTTATCTATCCTATGTTATAGCTCTGTTCATTAGCTTTCCAACGCTTCGAACGGGGGTCAAACGGACTTACGGATCCAAAGTTACGTCCAAAACAATTTCGACCGAAAACATGAACAGTCGTGACAGACAGAAAGACGCTGTTACGCTCCGGAACTGATTTTCGCTCAATTATTCTTGCGAATTACTTACTCAAAGCACCCAAAACATCACTAAAACATTCCTAAGGTTATACGGCAATAACGACACAACTTCTATGGTTTATTATGCTCATCTGAACATTTGCAACACATAAAACACTATTTCCTGCAATTGCTCTGAGTACTTCAGAGTTACTCACATTTGAATATTCCTATTCCTATAGGGACAACATATTACAATTTTTCCTTCAATTACACTCTACGACATTAAAATTATTCACTATCTAATATTTAACCCCTTTAGGGTCAGACATATAACAATGTCAAGGTTCTGGCCACGAAGGTTCAATTTCTCATAAGTTTTTCCCACAAGGACATATTAATATTCAACGATACATATCATTTGGCCATTTGGTCATAACCTCAGATTCTTACGGTTACCTCCCTATTTCCCACAATTAACTCAAATCTCTAAACCTTAGGGAGACCTTAGAGCATCGTACTAATAATGATATAACATATTCATTCTTACATAGAAAACTATGAAAAGCAATACTCCCCATACAATAATCATTCAAGAACAACAACAATTTTATGGAATTTATCATGCTACGAAAATTAGATCAAGAATCCTCAAGAACACATAATTCCTATGAGAGAAATGACCTCTCACTACCCTCTCATGTTAATTCACCCATATTGAAATCCATTCTCCCCCCTTACCTTAGAATTGAGCTTTTCATTGATCAACAATGAAGAATTTGGTTCCTCTGCCCTAGCTCTCCTTGTTCGTCAATTTCTCTTTTTCTTCCAAAACCTTTCTCCGGCAGTTTATCGTGTTCTAATTCTCTTCCCCAAAAAAACTTCTCTATTTCCTTTAATCCCTTATTTCTTATTTTATTATTTAAATCCTATAATAATAATAATAATAATAATAATAATAATAATAATAATAATAATAATAATAATAATAATAATAATAATATTCTCTCACTAATAATAATATTCATACTAATAGTAATAATATGAATAATAATAATATTCCACCAAATAATATTATTAATACGAATAATAATAATAATAATAATAATAATAATAATAATAATAATAATAATAATAATAATCTCATTAACATTATTATTAATAATAGTTGGAATAATATTAATCACTATAATGCTTTCGATATCATAATTAACTTACTCATTTATCTAGGTCCACAGTACCCCAACTAAGGTCACCTCTCTCCCTTACTCCTAATCTCATACCCTTAATTAAGGACACCACACAACTACACCTCACAGAAAATACCAAAGCGACTGAATAATTTAAATGGGGTGTTACACATTCAACGGGACATCTGTTTCTAAGGAAAATCTTGAAAAAAAGAAAAATGATGAAGTAGCTGAAGAATCGGTATGTTGTAATAACCATTACTATATAATTTATCTTTATATTGAGTACCATAAACTAACTTTTAATGATGAATGTTTCTTCTAGTGGGTTGAATGCAATAAATGCAAAAAATGGCAGCATCAAATATGTGCGCTCTACAACAGCCAAAAAGAGTTAGACTGCAGTGCTGAGTATATATGTGTTGTGTGCCGCTTAAGAGAAATTGAAAATGGAGTGCATGTTCCTTTAAAAAAGGCTACTCTTTATGGTGCTAAGGACTTACCAAGTACCGTGCTTAGTGACCACTTAGAGAAAAGACTTTTTAAGCGTCTCATGGAAGCGAGAGTAGATGGGGAAGTTAAAGGAAATGAGAATCTTGATAAGGTAATTCAGAGAGATCAACATGTATACACATAAAACTTGAAATATCATAACAGTTTCTTATTCTTAACCAAGCAAGTAAATTCAAAATAGTACTAAAATAGTTTTTTTCTTTGTTATTTATATTATTGATCGTTTAAAGCAGATGTAAATTTATTAAAAACTATAGAATATTTTCTTATTTACGATGAATTACTGCAGGTTTTAGCAGCAGAAAGTATTTCTATTAGAGAAGTGTTATCTGTTGAAGAAGCAATTTCTTGACGTCATCTGATAGAACAGAGGTATGATATAATATGATAAAGAAAATTATTTTATTAATGAATATGAAAGTAAAATAAATTCCAGAGCTACTGCTCTTCAGTCAGAGAAACAATTCTCTCACTGCCCAAACCCTAATATCAAAAACAGAAAATCAATCAATGCCTCACTACTGACCCATACACTCCTCTTTATATGGAGAATAATCTCTAAACTAACTCCTATTTATATGGACAATAATACATAAACTAACTCCTATTTATTTGTGGAGTTTCCTATTCTTTCTCACATATACCCTCCATTGTTTAGGTCCAATAATATCTCTATTGACTAACACATTCCCATCATCATTTGTGGGATTCGATCCATTCCTATCATTACCCCCACCTACAATATTAGCCTTGTCCTCAAGGCGCAGATCAGGGAATTGACTCTTCAACAACAGTTCCTCTTTCCAGGTAGCATCTCCAACATTCAATTCAGTTGTAAGTACATGAAGGGGCAGAGAGATACTAGAGGCCTACAGACAAGATTAAATTCATGGTATTCAACAATATATTGGATAGTTGAATTATCACTAAAGTATTTATTTCTTTTTATTTAATTTAGAACTATAAAAGTGTAATTTACTTTACATGAGACACATTTGCTTTTAGTGCAGAATGTGATTGTAATTAGTTATGCAAAATAGAGTTTTTGTGAGTGTATTTTGATTGAATTTTCAATTTCAAATTTACCTTGCATTCTCTCAATTGGTTGTGGCATCTTGATTACCAATGTATTGATTTGATGAAATAGTCTTCAATGAAATTTATTTTAGTTTGTTCTTTTCTACTATGCCTTTTTGTTGATGGATTCATTATAATGAGATGGTAGAGAAAAAATGGGAATATGATAAATAAGATATTGATTATATTACGTTTGCGTCAACTATTTAAGTTATTGATGTAGAAGTTACTTAATTGTTATAGTTTAAGCATATGAGTTTTGGGGTAATTTGAATTTCATGTTGTCTGATTCAATATAAAAATTAATTAGTTGTTAATGATGTCTTGAATTATAAATGGATGTTGAAGTCATTTATTTTTGGCTTAATTGTAACTATGATCCCCCTATTTTGCATTTTTTTGGATTTTGATCCCTCCATTTTAAAAACCACAATTTTGGTCATGTTTTTAAGTTTTGAGTTTGATTTTAGTCCCCTATCCAATTTGAGATATTTTTTTAATGATATGCCAAGTCATTTTAAAATTAATTTGATACTTTAATTATTGATTAGGATAATTAATTTATTAATATTATTTTTATTAATAAATAAATAATATTTAATTTTTTTTATTAATTTTTAAATTTAATTAACTAATCAAAATTTTAAATGAAACACTTTGGGCCTAACCTTTTTTTCTCATGTCTTTGGTCCATCTTTTTAACACACAATTGATTTGTTGTGTTTGTGTAAGATATATAAATACTAACAACATTTGTAATGAAAACAATGTGGGGCTACTCTAACACCATCTACTATTATGCTATGTTATCTATCTCATCTTTTCACCCTCTCCATGGAGCTCTCTCTCCATAATTAATATCACTCAAACCTTTTGAGATGAGTCTTGGAGCTCACCAAATATAGAACAAATCTCATGGTCAAAGATAATCTATAAGATTTTCCAAATTACAGCAGAATTAGAGCTATTGTTGTTATGAAATATGAGTTTTTTTGTTTAATCATTGTTATCTAGCACTGGTGTTAAAAACATTAATTATGGGTAATAGTTATATGCTTTGAATCTCTTCTACCTAAATATTAAAACTTTATATCAAATCAAACATTAATAAGTACACAGCAAATGATAAATTAGCCAATGAATAAGATCTACATACTCTGTGAGTAGAACTTGTTCAAATAGCATTTTGAGAAATCCAAATCCACGTTTAATTTTCAAAAGATTTCTGGAATGGCTTCCTTGTATTCTCACAGAATTAGTTTGTACATCATGATCAACCATAGATTGTAATGTCTTGAAAGACTTTGATGCCTCTACTATGTCATTGACCTGTTATTAATTATTATCCATGTTTATTTGTTAGTGTTTGATGCCAGTTTCAGTGTAAGTGTTTCACAGGTTTGTGGATCAACAAATGAGATCACATAACCGTCATAAACAGACGGTCCTCCCTCGTAATAGGCTCCATTCCAGGGACTACTGAAATCCATTCTATGCTGCTATCCAAAGAGATGTGTCAGTTGAGATAGGATAGAATAATCATGATGGAATTAATGACAGACAACATGAAGACAATCTTGTATTTCATAAGTTGCTAGAAAGTTTAACTTTTTTAAAAATAAATTACAACATAACATCATTGAATGAGCTATGCTATACTCTTCACTCTTCTGTAATTGTTATTAGGTTCTTCATTTGATCATGACAATTCATTGATGAACTATATGATCGTGAATTGAAAATGAAGTACCACGAGTATGGTATGTATACCAGGTACGGGGTACATATCTGATCACCGGTACTTCACAATTTTAAAAGTAGCCATGCTTCGGAGGTAGGTCTAAAGAGTATGATTGAGAATGATTACCTGCTTATTTTTCAGATTGCGGCCCCAAGAAAGGCGAGCGGTTTGCTTGCCAACTGTTGCACCATTTAGCTTTTGCAATGCCTCTTCTGCATTATTTCTGCAGATTATTTAGAATGATTAATTAGTGCACACACACACAGAGGGAAAAAAACCATGTTATATCTTATCACACGGAGATTTAAAAATGGATATAAACTTTACCGGTTGGCAAATTGTATAAAACCACATCCTTTTCCAACAGGTATCTTAACAGAGACTATCTCACCATACTGGGAGAATGGTTGTCTAAGATCTTCAGCGGTAGCACTAGGGTCAAGTCCTCCAACAAATATCTATAATGACCATCCGTTGAAAATTAGTGACAAATTGATTTTTCTAAATAAAAAGCTGAAAACTTACAATTGTATTTGTAGAATCCGCTTCAAATTGGTTGGATGTGGCATTTGAGTGGTCTCCTATACAAATAAACTAACTAAATTAATACCCAACAAGTAGGGATATTCTAGAATTTCCCGGTAGCATTTAGTTGAAACCAAATGCAAATGTTAAATTTGACAGACATGAAAAAACAAGGCATAAAAATGCAATTACCATTTGTTACAATGAAGCAGAAAAAACAATATTAAGGAGCAAAAAGTGTTTAAAAGTGTTGTCTTTGAATTGAATGTAAACCATTTTTTCGTCATCCTTTTGAAAAGTAAATATTATTTCAATTATGAGGTGCTATGAGTTAGCCATACCTTATTGATAGCCAGAGGATTTCTTAGGAGTTGCAGCACCAATTCGCATAGGCCTACTAGAACAATAAACACCATTCATCTCTCTCAAAGCCTTAGACCTCTCATTATCATCTCCAAACTTGACGAAACCATAACCTTTTGAATAGTCAATATTAGCATAAAAAACAACCTTTGCAGCTTTAACAGAAGGGTATTTATTAGAAAAAATTTCAAGTAACGTGCTATCTGTAACATATGTAGGGAGAGGGTGAAAAAAGGGTCAAAAATTTCAAGCAACGTGCTATCTGTAACATCTGCAACGTGCTACCTTCACCACTAAAGCCCAAGTCAAAAGGGTAAAAAAACTTCAACATTAATTATGGAGAGAGAGAGAGCCACATGGAGATGGTGAAAAGATGAGATAGATAACATAGCATAATAGTAGATGGTGTTATAGTAGTCTCACATTGTTTTCATTACAAATGTTGTTAGTGTTTATATATCTTACACAAACACAACAAATCAACTGTGTGTTAAAAAGATGGACTAAAGACATGAGACAAAAAGGTTATGCCCAAAGTGTTTCATTTAAAATTTTAATTAATTAATTAAATATAAAAGTTAATAATAAAAAATTAATAATTTATTTATTTATTAATGAAAATAATATTAATAAATTAATTATCTTAATCAATAATTAAAGTCTCAAATTAATTTTAAAATGACTTAGCATTGCCACGTCATCTTGGATAGCGCCACATCATCAAAGAAATGTCTCAAATTGGAGAGGGGACTAAAATCAAACTCAAAACTTAAAAAAGGAACCAAAATTGTGGTTTTTAAAATGGAGGGATCAAAACTCAAAAAATACAAAATAGGGAGACCATAGTTAGGATTAAGCCTTTATTTTTTGTATTTTCTTAATTTAGTTTAAAAGATGTAGTAAGATAGAGCATTCGTGTAGGTATATAATTGAATCTAAAAAAATATAAGATAATAAAATGTTTCACGGGTCACTATTATTACAATACATATTTTATTGTAATCAACAATTAATTTTATTTTCAATTTTCAAAATTTTTTTCTTCATCTCTCGGATCCTTCATTTCTGTTTGTATGATTATTTAATACACTTGATTGTTTCAATTACAATTTTATTAACAACACTTTATAATTCTTACAACAACATGCTTTATTTAGTAAGAATAAATGGTTGGTTAACTTCATGTTTAATTTGAAGTATACACACCTACAAATGGAATCACATTTACTTTTCAATTAACCTAGAACCAGGTTTTTGTTCCTTCTCTATTACCCTATAGCCTGAACTTTGTTGACAGGTTGTCCACTTCTGAAATATCTATTACTCTATAGCCTGAATTTTGTTGACAGGTTGTCCACTTGTGAAATCTTCGACATTAAATGCAATTGTTGTCAAAAGTTTTTTCATTCAATTCACCCCGTCTTGCTATTTTTCTAACCTGATTCATACTTTTTATATGAATTAATAGTACAATTAAATAAAATACTTTCAAAACATAATTCACGGTAAAGTTGAGTCAGCAGTAACATGTCAAATCCTCTGTAGTAAAACTGGGATACCACACCATTCTTGAGTTCTCATTTGTTACTTTATACGTTGACCTACTTATGTAAAGACATAAGTATAACAATAGTTTTCTTTCAAAC